ACACACACACACACACACACACACACACACACACACACACACACACACACACACACACATTATGCTGAGGTAAAAGGCTGATTGCACAGCAGTGGCTCCGAGACTGCACCAGTGTAATGAAATATGAATGAAGTGCTGTTTTCCTGTACGAGCACTGCTTTCATTTCGACTCACAGATCCTTTAGAGGCATCTGTCATGGAGGAGACCTCACTCTGCTCCCAGGTTTGTCGGACGGTGGGAATCGTGAGAGCGTGACACCTCAAGGCTCGAGGCTAACGAGGGGGAAACGGATGGATCGGTCATGCAGAGCAGACCCTGACAGACCGAGTAAGAAGCTTTTATCGCGGCTCGGGCTGCTTCATACTGCTGCTGGACTCCTGACTGCAGCTCACACTTTAACAGCCTTCCCTCACGTTCAGCAGCTGGAGGGGCTTCCCCCTGAACATCCATCAGGCCAGACAGCTTCATGTCCTGCTGCTCGCTGAGGTCAGTCGACCGGCAGGTGCTGGTGCTTCCTGATTGGTTCTGGGATGGCCGCCCGCTCCCTAACAGGGTTCAGGTCAAGAAGGAAAACACACCTGTTCTTGTTTATGTTTCACTTGAGCTTCAAGTTTGGTTCACGTGTTAATTTGGAAACAAACTCAGAAACCAAACCATTGTTTTCCTGCTCACTGAACATCTGAACACCTTCAGCTTACCTCCATCTTTAAACCTTCCCTTTCACTCATGTTGCTCTCCCTCTGACCTCTGACACTTGTCTCCACCCACTCCACCCTGCAGCACTTCTTTGACCCCTGGTACCATCCAGCTCCACCACCTCTCATCTGTCTTTTTCTGAATTTTTATGAAATTTGTTGCTTGTGGAATTTTGAATTATGTCTTTCAGGGTTCAGCGTGCAGCTCAAAGATGCTTCAACGCAAAGGGAATCAAACCGACGACCTCAGGCCACAAATACCCAACAGATGAGAAAGCTTGCACCTTTAATTCTTTTGATTTTAAAAAGGTGACGCTTGCGCTGTGTTGGGTTGGTCCACATGACGGAGCGATGCAGGTGAGTCCTCCGAGGTTGAACGTGGACTTTGGCCTGCGGTGAAGCTGCAGCGTGGCCTTCAGCCTCCTGCTGTCTGAATAAATGAGTCAGT